TGCTAATGTAGAACTTTGGAAAAGGCAAATGCGCGGGGGATTTAAATATCCCCTGTGGCATTTACATTTTCATGGCCGCCACTTTTTTCCGGCTTGGAGATAAGCCGGAGAAAAGCGTCCAGAGTGGCGCGATCCTCCGGAATAAATCTCTTGCAAATAGGAATAAGAGATCCTCTGGAATAGGGCTTTATTCCGGAGAATCGTGCCAATCTGGATGCTTTTCTCCGCCTTATCTCCAGCCGGAAAAAAGCGGCGGCCATGAAAATGCAAATGCCGCGGGGGATATTTAAATCCCCCGCGGAGTTGCCTTTTCCCAAGTGCTACATTTGCATGCCTATTCCGTAATAAGGGCCAATGTAGGCACAGCCATTGTGTTCAAAGACTGGATTAACTCCATGCAACGTGTAGCCCAGGGATCAACAACCTTTCAGAAGCGGCATGATGAGATTTAACTTATTCACTTCTATATATGGATCTGTGTGCCGTTGATACTTTTAAAGTCAATAATAGTCCTACTTACATCAGCTTCATTAATAAATAAATTAAGATGCACATCTTATCGTTTTAATAACACAGGATTTTTTAAAAAATCATTAAGATCAGTGTTTTAGATAACACCGTTAAAAGAATCTTTTTTTTTCTTACTTTGGGATACACAGGCTTAATTCTTAACTCCATCACAGACTTCTTGAATGAGCTCAGGTAAGCCCTCAAGGGTACATCTACACTACAGCTGGAAGTGTAAGTTACAGCTCAAGGGAACATACACACACTACGTTTAGTTGACTGAGTGCACTAAGGGTAGGTCTGCACTGCAATTAAAAACTTGCTGCTGTAAAGTGTGGCGCACACACGCCTCCTCATAGCACTAAGGGGAGCTGAAGATGCACCGGAATGTCTTGAGTGCAATGCTGAGCTGGTTGAAAATTTTAAAGCTTTTTTTTTTAATTTTAGAGAGCAAGAAAGAACTCTTTTCTAATAGAAAACTGTCTCATCCCAAACTGTTGACATTGTCAAAATGGTTCCTCTTGTGTAAAAATGTCATGCTTTTTCACTAACTCAACCTTCAAAGTCTTTTATAACTAGCTAGAGCCAGTTTTTGGAGGGGCTTTTTGTAAAGGAAAAATTTCACTAACTTCTTTGGGAGGCAGGGGGAAATAGAAGAGACGTAGGACATTTTGAAAAAGAGGAAAAATAAAAAAATGGATCCATTTGGCACACTTTTAAATAAAAATGAATTTGTAAGTTAATATTTTGTTTTATCCCTCTGTGAAAACACATTATCATATTTCAGCCAGTTTTAATAAGACATGGAAACATCATGAGTTATACTTTTGTTGACAATTCGCATCAGAGTCTTTAGCTTTATTTTTTAGATTTAGTGCCAGATATACAGAGGTATTTGGGTGCCTAAAGAGGCAGATACATGCCTAACCTGGTTTGCACTCCAGAAAACCCCAGATGTCTAACTCCCATTAAAAGCCAAATGAAAATAAATGCAATTCCCATTAGGCACCTATTTGTCTCGTTAGGTGTTTGTAAATCTACACCATTAACACCTGCTCAGTTTCAAGCAGGAAGCAGCTCTGTTTAGCAGCTGCTTGAGAATGCCCCGCCTCCCCTCCTCCTCCTGCCAATCAGCTTAACTCCCTGCCTGTTCCTGCCAGCTGTGAGACTCAAAAGGCAGTGACGGCTCCCTGCTGCATAGGGCATGGGACTGAGCTCCCTTCC